GGCATCTCAGTGGGGCAGCCATTTGAGGTCGCTGTCAATATCAGCTTGAAAACCACCTGAGGTGAGGATGACATTTACGAGGGCATCCAACAAAAATACACACAGTGAGGAAGTTGGGCTCTTTTATCTTGTTTTTATTTTTTTATTATTTGCTTGTTTTTGTTTTGTTTGTTTGTTTTTTTGAGTTGGAGTCTCACTCTGTCGCCCAGACTGGAGTGCAGCGTCCACTCCCAGCCACCGCAGCCTCAACCTGCTGGGCTCCGGTGATCCTTCCGCCTTAGCCTTCCGAGTAGCCGGAATTACAGACACGCGCTACCACGCCCAGCTAATTTTTTTTTATTGTAGAGATGAAGTCTCACCAAGTTGCCCAGGCGGGTCTCGAACCCGCGGGCTCAGGCAATCCACTCACCTCAGCCTCCCAAGACACGGGATTACAGGCTGAGCCACTGAGCCTGGCTTATCTTGCTTTTAAATCAAGGCCAATCTGAGGCAAAATTATAAAGCAGATGAAGAATGTCTTTTAAAAATCTTTTTATTTTAAAGCCATTTGTCCAGTCAGAGCCATCTTGGGGCCCTTTCTGAGAAATTATTTTTGGCAGTTGGGTGCAATAGCTCATGCCTGTAAACCCAGCACTTTGGGAGGCTAAGGCAGGAGGACTGTTTGAGACCAGGAGCTTGAGAGCAGTCTGGGCAACTTAGCCAGACCTGTCTTTATAACATTTTTTTTTAAAGAGCAGTTCTTTGTGAGCATCTGTGTCTGGAGCAGGGAGAGCGGGGCAGCCAGGAATTCTCAGCAGTCACTGGGAGCACCCTCAGACACTGAGGTTGAGACCTTCCAGGTCACCTTCAAATTCACCCTCAAAGCTCTATTTTCAATGCCACCTGGGCCAGAGGACAGCTGTAGAGAGGACACCAGGACAGGGCACAACGTCTCACCACCACCCCCCTCCACTGAAGGGGAGAACTGGAGTCTTTCCTGTTTTAGCTTTCCCCTCAGCCTGGTCCAAGGATTGGCAAGACAGGAGCTTGTTAAAGGGCCAGCCTAGCACGCCCCACCGTGGAGGCTGATGCCTGGGGAGATTCTGCTTCTGAGTGTCTGGTAGGTGGTGGTGCTGGATTGACCTGACTGTCCCCCGACTGGCGCCTTCCCTGGCCTTACCACAGCAAGAGCTTAGGAGAGGTCTGCCCAATTGCAATGAGACCTTCAAAGGACTGGACAGATACTGCATTGTGGGAGGGAATCTAAAAAACCGCCCCGGAAGAGCCCAGATCTTCCAGCCTCCACGACGCAGGCCTGGAGGTTTCAGCGATTGACGGTCTCTCCCTAGTGGCAGAACTGAAGGTGACAGGCAGGCGAGAAGAAGGTTCCACCCTCAAGGCGTGGCTCCCAAGGGCTCCCCGGCTGCGGCTGGACACCCGGGTCCAACGTGCACTTGCACGACTCGCCCTTCCCCGCCGCCCCCTAATCGCAGCCCGGTCAGCTCTTTATTTTAAATCTAGATGTTTCGATTATCATAGAGTGGTTTGCATTAGTGTAGATATATTCAAATATTGTATTGAAGTATTATTCTATGGATTACTGAGTTCTTCGGCACCCTCTTAAGTGCTGTGCGTGAGGTGAGCGCCTCCATTGCCTCCCACATCCCCTCTGCCCCCTGCGGTAGTCCTGATGCAGAAGCCAGCACAGGGAGTGCAAAACCCCTCATTTGTCTCTGGAACCATGCGGCCCCTGGGGGGAGGGGCTAGCCTGCTAGCCTGTGGGCTATTTGTGCTGTAATAGTGTCAGTGGCAGTCTCTAGGCTTTTTTCCTTCCCCTTCCTCTTTCTCTTTCTCTCTCTCTCTCCCCCCCCCCTCTCT